AAAAWWAAWTTTKKWRGRAAAAWTTTTAGAAAGAAAAAAAATTTAGAGTGARGAAGAAATGTTAGAGATAAATATGATAGGAAAAAAATCAGATTTTAAAAAATAAAAATCTATTTTTGAAAACCATTCTTTTTTAAATAATTTATATAGAATTTCAAAATAGTTTTTTAAAAACAAAAAAGAGAAAATTAAATTGGTTATCAAACAATCCTATTCTTAAAAAACTAACAAGAACTAAAACTAAAAATGAAATGGTTATCCAGCCCTAAATAACATATCATGCTTATTTTTATATCTAAAAATTTAATATTGTCTTAAATTTTTATTATTTTATAACTTTTATTTCTCTTTCTAATCTATTTTTCTATATAAAACATATTTCCTAACTTTTCTATATCTACATTTTTTTCTTTATCAATTTTCTCTCTTTTTATTTATTTGTTTTTCACCGATAAATGTATATTTCAAATTCTCACTTGTTTGAATTTTCTAGCATATATTATCTCACATGGGGCGATCACTTTGATGGCCGAAAACAAATTTTCATTTGCCTTTAAACACTATTCTAAAATTTAAAAGTTAAAACTAAAATTTGAATTTATTTTGTTGCATGTAATTTTAACTTTGGTTCCMACTTTTATYCATCATAGGCCCYCTACTTTCAAAGGCTCCATTTTCCCTTCTCGATTTTCATTTTTATCTCATTTCTTTTATCACAATTTTAACATGACACTAAATTTCTTGARATGTATAYACAAAATAATATTAGAGAGTTTTCATTTGACATAAAATTTGTGTTAAAATTTTACGAATAGGGAAGAAGTTATTAGTCACTTCTAAAAAATAAAATAAAAACAAAAATAAATATTTTAAAAATATAGGAACTAAAATGAATAAAAATTAAAAATATATAAATAAAAATAAACGTGTTGAAAGTATATAGACCAAAATGACCCAAAACTAAAAGTATACGAACCATGACAAACAATAATGTTAAAAAAAAAATTAATTGCTTAAACCATTGAGAATATTACTTATTTTGTTTTGAGTTTCATTTCTAAACTATTTAGAAGTTAAGTTAGTGCTTTTGTCATTGTACTTTTAACTTACTTTTTAATTCAATTTTTGAACTTCGAAATGATCCAATTTGTGTTTATTTTAAGCGTTCAAGTCGTATTAACTCGAGAATCAAATTCTAAACCGACGTGGCACTGCTGGATACGAATAATAGGTACCCCACCCCAGGCAGAGTTAGTGAGCCGTGTAATAGGCGACCATTTCGCGTTGATGATGCAGAAAGCTTTTTTTTTATATAGAGTCAAGGGGGCTTCCATACAGACTAAAAAGTTGAAATGATTGTTCATGAAACTACTATACTCTTGTTTAAAAGTTTTTAACTTCTAACAACTGCTATGTACGTTTTCAATTTTCTATTCACTCATGATCCGGCKGAAAAACATAAGTCGTCTGYCTCGACATGATCTACGTCCATACCGCTCCTCGTGGAGTAGATCCCACTTCGGTTTCGATGAAAATGGAAAGAATCAAACCTACGACACCAAAAAAAACCGAGCCAAACTTCTACCTGCCCGACCACTTCCATAAAACAATATCGTAGTCCAAGRAGTTTTTTCTTTGTGGAGGTTTCACATCACATTTAAATCAATCATCCAAATTTCTTAAATCACCCAAAATCGACTTTAAAAAGGTCATGGTAAATATGTTTTTGAGTGTCAAAGGCATTGCATAAATTTATGTTATTAACTATGAAAATTTTAAAATCATACATATTAAATTTAAAGTAAAAAACTAAAGAATACAATTTATCCTTATAAAATAACTACAAAAAGGAGTTATAGATCCTCCTTTCTGTATCACCCCTTTTTCGAGTTCTCTTTCATCTCTAAAACGCTCTCTACTTTCTTCATGTTTCACTATTTTCCACTTGAGAGCAATAACCTTTGAGCTTCATCAGAATCAATTAATACGAGCCTAATATTCTATCAAAATAAGTCGTCGTATCTTACCAAGACAATCGTTGTAAACCCGTAGTAGCATTTTTCAACTACCAGTTTTCCTCGAGAAAAAACCCATCAGAGGATTCCATCATTTCAACAACCAGAAAACATGAAAAGAACTTCAAGTTTGAGTTTCAGTGAGACTTACCAAAAAGAGAGGATTTCGGGATAGTGAAGAAGAGAACACAACAGCTGAGAGCAACTGCAAGAGAGAGAGGTGTGAAACACAGAGAATGTCTTTAAATTACAACACTTGGTAAGAAGTTAAATAGATTTTTCTTGGTAATGAAGGGGAAGGGCAACGGGCATCACCAACCAATATTGGACGCCGAGATCGACAACTTCTACTACCGAAAATCAGATTTACACAAGGCTGAACTATCCATCTAAAAGTGGGAGGGGGAGAGGAGGGAGAACTAAGATTCTGTGAGATCATTATAAATAAGTAATGCATGTGAAATCTTCATTCACAAGGCTCGTCGTCCCATTGAGTTAAAATTATGTGCTTTTTAGAGGACTCGGAGCTGGGCAAGGAAGGCGGCACAAAGGTCCAGGAAAAGAAACTGGGGGCCTTGAACCCTCTGTAGATCAAGCAAATACTTCTCTTCTCGTGTTTTGTAGAGCTGACAACAAAACCGATGCAAAAATAAATGAGCATGATGCTTGAGATTATTATCGAGAAAGTGACGTTATTCAGCCCCAACATTATGTTCTATATTAAACATAAGATAGCAATCAGTGACTCTTTAATGAAACAACTCGAAGAAATGGTTCAAGTCTCTGCTGCAGGCATTGTGGGTAGAGGGGAAAGGGATGAAAAAATGGTACATTATTCAAATGACGCAACAGAAAGAAAAATACCTGAACTTCGAACTTAATAACATTTGGTGATTTTACAACACCATCATTTTCGATGATCGTAGACTCGTCCCCAAAGTAATGATTACTATGCACAGCAGTGTTGTTAATCATGCCTTCATGATGGCCGGGAATTCCAGGTAACCACCTGCATTTCATATTGTAGTGCCCAATCTTCTTCCAAGCCACATTGAGCTCTCGTAGGGCTTTAAGGACTTCGGTCATAATTTCACGGGGATGAGCTCGAGACTGCCCAATAAGAGCAAAGAGTACAATCATAATCCAATTATTAAGCGGCACAAACTTCTAAGTTACTCGGCAAATTAACAACATAAGAAATAAATAAATAAAGAGTGCGCATGGAGCCAATGAAAGAAATGGGAAACTTATAAGCATCCATAAAAAGAAAACAAAAGCATGAAATGTAGATCCATTTCCAACAATACAGAAAAAGCAAGAATACATCATTCGAAGTTTATGCTCCGTACGGCTTGAAACAAAGCAACCAACCTGTAACCCCAGAGCCCACTTCCTCTCAACAGGAAACTGCGATCTTAAGCCCATTCCTTGATAATCCATATATCCAGGAAGACGGTGTCCTACAGCAGGACTGGTAGCATCACTAGGGTGCATACGGTTGAAACCTGTTTCCTGCCAAACAATGAATAAAACGACATATGTTGGACTACACAAATATTAACAAAATGAAAATAGAGCAAATATAATACTTAATAAAACAAAATGGAAGAAAATTTTCAACTTTGTACAACAATCAAACCACCAAAAAGAAAATACATCACAAGATATGAGCCCAAAATTTTCCCAAACTTTTTTCTCTTTTACCACTCAACGAGGAAATCATTAGAATAATCAAGATACATTTTGGAGGGTGAAAGAGACTTTCTAATAGTATGAAAAGGAAACGCATGAGAAGTTTTATCAGACTAGAACTAAAACAAAAAACAAGAATACCATAGTCTCCTGAAACTCGGCTCCAAGGTAACCACTAGAAACACGAAACCGGTTGTCCAGCAACAAATAATAGGCAACAGTGGCCTGAAATATATTTTCAATCACAAGGACCATCAGTGGCGGATAGCAAAGAAGAATTTCAAACTTTTGAAGAAAATACGTCTTAGTAATAATGCACCTCATTTTGAATTCGGTTACGGAGAGACTCCACCAGTTGATTCCTGTCAAATCCCATCTTCACAACCTCCTGAAGAATGTCCTCGTCAATCTGCCGGAAGAAAATCAAGGAAAAAGATTAATTGCTTGGACAATAAAAACTAACAATTAAGAATTTATAATTTATATTGCAAGACTAGAAAAGTACTCAT